ATTTGGGTGAGGCTTAATGTAAAGAAAAGCACGAAGGTATAAGTAAACAGCAAAGAATGGATAAGAAGAAAACCTCAGCTGCTCCGATGCTAAATAAAAATGCAATACAAATAAGCCAAAATACATTTCAGAGGCTCAACACTGGTGAGGCCATGTTCAAAAAGCTATTTTCAAGTGAATTGCTTTATCAATGTTTATTTAATGTTTTATGATATTACATGACTTCCATAACTAAATCCAAGGGAATTCATATATCCAACTGAAATAAAAGTAGAACCTCAGTATCTTTCCTAAGCAAAGACTGTTCCTCACCAATTTCCAGATCAGGAAGTTCAGAGGATAATATCGACTTGAAACAAAATATACTGTGTTCTTGGTTGATCCCTTAATTCTTATGTGGTTCAGTGTGTCCATTTGGAGAATGTAAATCTTGTTCCTTGCCCTTCTGTAACAATGATCCTGGGTGAAATCGTAAAAAGTATGGCATCAGTTAGGCACTATCCTGTGTGATGCAAACATTATGTGCTTGACTACTAACCTAAAGGTTGGTGGTTTGAACCCACCCAGTGGTAGAATGCTTTCATAAAGATTACAGACAAGAAAATCCTATAGAGCAGGTCTGCTTTATGACACCTGTGCTCTCTAGGAATGCAAATCAACTCCCCAACAATGAGCTTGGTGCTTTGGTACAGTAATAATTTAACAAGGAGTCATGGTGATGTAGTGGTTGAGTACTGTACTGCCAGCTAAACTCACCGTTGGTCCTTGTGAGTAACCACCTGGTGATTTCCTCCTAGAAAATGTACAACCTAGGAAACCCAGCTCTATCACATGGGGTCACCATGAGTCAGAATCAACCGCAGAGCACACAATTCCTCCAACAAATCATTTTCTATTTTATTGCATTCAGTCTTCATCATAACTTTGTGAGGGACAGACTCCCATTAAACCCGTGTTTCAAGTAAAAACATAAATGAGGCTTATAAGTGGCTAAGTGCTTTTTTTCCAGGTGATACCGGAGTAATCAGGACTCTTAAATCCCACATTTTAAAGACTGTGTTCTTTAACTCCGATGCTGCAAATGAGGCAGACCTGGCCAAGGAAAAATAAGCACACACAGAGAACCCAAAACAAACAGAAGTACTCATTGCCATCGAGTCGATTCAGACTCGGAGCAACCCTACAGGGCAGGGTGGAACTACCGCTTGGGGTTTCTGTGACTGTAAGTTTTTTATAGAAGTAAACAAAAGGCTGTCTTTCTGCCATGAGTGTCTGATGGTTTAAAACTGCTGACCTGGTGGTTAACAGCTCAATGTGTAACCACTATGCCACCAGAGCTTCACATACATCGAGAGAGACTCAAAATGCTCAGAGACTATGCCATTCTAATACAAGCACGATGATTGATGGCCAGGGCTATTGCTTTGATCAGAAAAAAGCCTATGCTGCCCTACCATGGTACTCTAATAACAGTATCTAATGCTAAGCTATTTTTTTTTTCACCAGGCAAATTCCTCTTGCCTTATAAAAATGCTTGCATAGAAAGTTCAAACCCCAGTAACAATTAATTATTGGCAGAGCATGTGAAGTAGATATAAAAGAAGTTATTAGTTTTCCACATACAAGATAGTAAATACATTTAATTATGGTAGGGGAAGCTAAGGGATCTTCATCTGTATTAAGTTTTATTCACTGAGACCATGAAAAACATGTCATCGTAACAAAGAGGTCTTCTGTGATCCTAAATGTACCACGTTGGAGCAGGGCTTGAAAGTGAAGACGTAATGGGGCACACGGTGGCCAGATGGTCTGCTGTACCAACAGGTATTGAACAGGTTTATTGTCAATTAACTTTGGTCCACATATGCCTGCAGCAATTTGGCTGTATAATAGGATCCTGACCATTGTTTTATCACTGATAGTGTCCCCACATTTGGAGTTGGGGAACAAATGCTATTAAATCTGTTTAATTCCATGAATTTACAAAATGGACCAAAGCCATGGTAACGATAAACATAGAGCGAGGTTAAGTGTGAAGAAGCAAACTTCGCAAGAGGAACAGAGGCCTGTTGTGAGGTCTGTCACTGACTCGGTGGGTCACCTCAGAAGAAACGAAAACTCCTGTGCGGTGAGCCAGACCTGTGTGAAATGCTCTTACTCTGGTATTTCCTTCTCAACTTAAACACTGAGGGAAGTCTGACTGTCTTACAAATGAGGATCCTAAGGTCTGAGGATGACTCAACTGGCAGAGGTCAACTTGCAAGTTTGTCTGTTTTCCATATATCTATTCCTGTCCCTGGACTAAAGTATCCTCATTTGAACAACCATTTCTTGAGCTTCAGGCCAGTTCAAAGGTCAGGGATTCATTTTATTTGTTTTCAAAGCCAAACAAAGAAAAAAAATCATTGCCATCAAGGCATTTCTGACTCACACTGACCACCCTGGGCAGAGCAGACCCACTCTCATGGGTTTCCACGGGTGTCGATCTTTACAAGAGCAGAAAGACTCTTTTTGTTTTTTTCTCACAGGGGTTTGAATGGCCAATCTTCTGGTTAGCAGCCCAACTTGTAACTCACTACACCATCAGGGAGATCATGGATAGTTGAAGCGTTGCAGTTCACAAGATCTCTAACTCCAGGTCTTTATCCTACTTTGTCATCTCTAGACACTTAAATTTTCTGCTCGGCTATTTTACTTCATTTCTTTCATTAGTTTCAGCTACTCTAATTTCAAGAAAAATTCAGGGGCTCTTCTAACATCCACTTGGGTCTTTTTTCTCTTTCCTGCCTTTTGAGTGACCTAGTGCATTCTTCATGTATGATAGCGTTAATGTCATGCTAAGCTCCATCTCGTCTTTGATCATTAGTGTCATATGCACCAAGTATTTTCTTGAAATTGTCTGAAAATTCAGGTGGGATGTACTCCAGGTCATACTTTGGCTTTCATGGACTTGTTTTAATTTTCTTCAGCTTCAATTTGAACTTGCATATGAGCAGTTTATACTCCTCTCCAAAGTTGGACCCTGACCTTGTTCTGACTAATGATATGGAGCTTCTCTATTGCCCTTTCGATTGAAATTATTAATTTGACCCCCATGCAATATATCTGGTGAGTTCTACATGTGGAATTGCCAATTATGTTGTTGAAAAAGGGTGTTTCTGATGAGTAAATTATTGGTCTTGCAAAATTTTATAGTGCAATCCATATCTGGCATGTTGATATTGAATTATGTAGGAAGCATCAAGAGACGATGGAAGGAATACACAGAAATATTGTACCAAAATAACTGGTCAACTTTCAACATTTTTGAAGTGCCATAGGATAAAGAGCTGACAGAAATCCAGATCTTTGTCCGTTCCAAAGAAAGGTGACCCAATGGAGTGCACAAATTAGCTAGCAATATCACTAATATCACAGGCAAGTAAACTTTTGTTAAAAATACTTCAAAAATGATCGTAGCAGTGTATCAACAAAAATTCAAGACAGATCCAGAGAGGATATGACACCATGAAATTCCATTGCTGATGTCAGGTGGATGTTGGCTGAAAGCAGAGCATACCAGAAAGAGGCTCATTGTACTCTATTTACTGTCCACTGGTATTTGTGTGAGTCAAAACAAGCCCCAGATCACATTGCAAAGAATGGGAATTCCATAACACTAAATTGTGCTCATTCTGTACGTATCTGTATATAGACTAAGAGGCAGTATGAACTAGCTCTCAACACAAAGAAAACAAAAATGATGACAACTGGAACAATTAGCAATATTATGAAAAACAGAAAATATTGACAACCTCAAATATTTCATTTTACTTGGACGCACTTCAGCTCTCATGGAAGCAGCATTCAAGAAATCAAACAACATATTATACTGTGCAAATTCATTTCAAAAGGCCCCTTTAAAGTAAGATGCTAAAGATGTCACTTTGAGGACTAAAGTGTGCCTAAGACACACAGTGGTTTTTTTCAATGCTCTCATATGCATGCAAACGCTGGACGGTGAATAAGAGTGCTGGTAAAGACCACTGAGCACACCAGGGACTGCCGGAAGGAGAACAGGCAGAATGTGCCTTGGAAGCAAGGATCCTGAGACTTCATTTCAGATATTTTGGACATGTCCTCAGGAGGGGCCCGTTTCTGGAGCAGGAAATCATGTTTGGTAAAGCAGAAAGTCACAGACAAAGATCTTTCTTTCACAAGACGGATGGACCCAGCGGCTCTGCAATCACACGTTCAAACAAAGCGACGCCCAACTTTGCAAGGTAACCTTCTGTTGAGCATAAGGTCACCACCAGTTGGAACCAAGGTCATGGCACCTAGCCGCATCCACACTAAGATCTCTTTGTCTCTTTTGCAGAGCCGCCACTTGGCCGCTGTCTTGTAAAAGCAATGACAGACAATGCACAGAGGAATGAGGGTAGCCGTGCCCCAATGAAAGCTGATTTATGAAAGGGAAATTTCATTTTCTTCTCATAAAGGAAGAACACAAACCATTCCAAGTGGTATCATCCCAAACAAAGTCAGGCAGTGGTTTTCCATCTTCTGAACTGGATCATCTTTGAGTTCACACATTTTCTGAAATCCAGTACAACAGTCATGCTCATCATTTGCTTAATTGATTAATTGCTCCACATGCCAGATTCTATGCTAAATGTGCTACAGTGTGAAGTAGGCCTATCATTATCTCCACTTCAGAAATTATACAATTAAAGAGAAGGTAGAAACATGTCAAAATCCACCGTAAATTGTAAGAGGTCGAGCTATGGTTTAAATGTATGTGCATATGATTCCCAAGAATGAGTGCATAAGCCTCTTGCTGCTTTTTATAATAATAGAGGGGTCAGAACTATCATCGGGATATAGAATGAGGGAGAATTTATGAATGTTTTTAATTCATTTAGCTGTTAGGTTGCTTCCATACAACGTTCTTTGCCAAAGAAAGCATTACCATATTTCTGGATAGGACTAACCACTCTCCTCTCTTTTCTCCCCTCTTCCAGAGATGTGATGCCTAAGACCGTGGATGGCCAGATAACCATGGAGAAGACGCCAAGTTATTTCGTGACGAATGAAGCTCCCAAGCGCATCCACTCCATGGCTAAGGACATCAAACTGATTGTAGTCGTGCGAAACCCGGTGACCAGGGCCATCTCTGACTATACCCAGACCCTGTCAAAGAAACCTGAGATTCCCACCTTCGAGGTGCTGGCCTTCAAAAACAGGACCCTGGGATTGATCGATGCCTCCTGGAGTGCTATCCGCATAGGGATCTATGCCTTGCACCTGGAAAACTGGCTGCAATATTTCCCTCTCTCTCAGATTCTCTTTGTCAGTGGCGAGAGACTCATCGTGGACCCGGCAGGGGAAATGGCCAAAGTACAGGATTTTCTAGGGCTCAAGCGTGTTGTGACTGAGAAACACTTCTATTTCAACAAAACGAAGGGTTTCCCTTGCCTCAAGAAGCCAGAAGACAGCAGTGCCCCGAGGTGCTTAGGCAAGAGCAAAGGTCGGACTCATCCCCGCATAGACCCAGATGTGATCCACAGACTTCGGAAATTCTATAAACCCTTCAACATGATGTTTTACCAAATGACTGGTCAAGATTTTCAGTGGGAACAGGAAGAGAGTGACAAATGAGCCTAGAGGCGAAAAGGCAAGGCTAGTGAACAGCTACGGAGGCTTCTCCCCTGACTCCTGTAACTCCTCAGGGTCTGTAGCCTCAGCTTTGCTGGAGTGCCAAGTGGATTTCCTCCCTCACCCCAGCAGGGTTGGCTCCAACATTGTTGGTTTAGGAAAAGGGGTGGATCCCATGGCATCCCTGCAGAGGAACCAACTAGGTCTGGCGTGACAACAGCATCTGGTTAACCAGATGGCCACCAGAGCACACGGATGATTGTGTCTTCTGCTAGCTAACTGTCTAAAGACAGAGGACAACTAGTTGTCAAGGTCAGAGAGAGTGCAATGAATGTTTTTTTGAAGGCTAGAGGAAGGGCTGATTGGTGGGAACTCTCACCTTGAGTTGGGAAGCTAGGCTTCTAGCCCTGAACCTGGTACAGGCTCCTTCTGTATAAACCTCTCCTTGAACATCTCTCCAGAAAACGATTTGTGGCTAAGTGTTCTAGGATCCCTGGGAAGCAAGAGCTCCCTCTCAGGTGTCTCTAGCCTTCTTAAAGTCCTCATCCCACAACTCCTTGACTTGCCCCATCTTGTCAATATGAAGGCGGAGGCATGCACGGTCTTCACCAAAAACAAACAAATCTGGTCCCATGGGAGTCTTATTTCTAAGGGCCCTGTTTAGAGGTTGGGTCTCTTTCTGCATAAATATCCAGGGTTTTGAGATGGTTAACACATGCCCAAGTGTTGACCAGAGCTACAGGTCTGATGTAAGAGTGTAGGATTGCATCTGACCCCTGAGGTTGACAAACGATGAGGGTTCAAGAAGAAAGGCAGCCCCTCTTACCTTATGGTAGGACTCCTTACCTCCAGACCCCACCCCACCCCCACAGTACCATGATTCTGAGGCATGCTGTTTGAGTGGGTTCTGTACCTTAGGGTCCCCAGAGAGGGACAAGGACCAGGGATTTGGCATGTTTCTTGACCTGAGTAATCCTTAGCAACACAATGGGGAGGGGAGAAGTTAACAAAACTTTTGTTAAAAATACTTCAAAAATGATCGTAGCAGTGTATCAACAAAAATTCAAGACAGATCCAGAGA